ACTTGAAGAAATTCTGTAATCTGGTTCAACCACTCACTTCAAAATAAGAGAGATGAGAAGGGAGAGGTGTACACCGATGAAATACTTGCCAACCTACACCTCTGCCCATCCTTTTAAGTTCACTAAGATTTATAAGAATATATCTTGGCATTTCAGAAACAAAAACTTCTCTCCCCACCCCCAACTTATCTAAAACATGTATCTTCCAGAAAACATACGAGTTTCATGGAGCAAAAATTATGAGTGAAAAATTATGACTGAGTGAAAATGATGACCACCTGTATGATTATGTTTCTCTCTGCGATTGAGGGGACCGCTAACAGCAGTGAACTCGGTAACTATGGATCTAAACTTTGCAGGGTGTACCTCGCCAGAGTTAGCAAGGAATTGATGTGACTCTCCCTTCTGGAAAAAAAACAAGCTTCTTGTGACAGGCCTATCCAGGGCACTGTCTCAACCTATGCAACTCTAAAGGAACTTCACCGATACATACAATTAAATACCTATTATATTTTCAATAGCTGCCTAAGGGATGCCTGAAGCAGGCAGACAGAATATTATATTAAACAAGAAATCCAGACAGAGTTTTGGTGCTGGCAGAGGAAGAAGATTCTTCCATTAATCCCCTGTTCTGCCATTCACAGGACTGGCCACAGATCCTGGGCAGGTTAAAACAACTCAGTTAACCTGCATTTTCTGCCTTACATTTCAGACAATGAATTCTGAAACGTTAGAAGGTGTTTTAAAAATAAAAATGAATTTGTGCTATCTCAACTGTGTGGTGGCAACATGAAGTAACTGTTTCAATTTTTATATTTAAATAACATTTATGTCACCCCTAGGAATCTGCTTTAAAGGCCAACAATCAAAAGTTATTTGCATTAAACAACCAATAAAACACTTCTGAAATGTATTTTTCTTAGATACTTTCTTAGATGTGTACTACAAGGGGTATACAGTAATATTCTTGACTACAACACATTCAGCAGCAAACCAAACCAAAGTGCTGGAACAAAGAATCACGCTCATACCAAAGCATAAATGCCTAAACTGGCTATCGGTGCGACCTTCAATTTTAAATGGCTAGGTCACAAATTGAACATACTCGTCTCATTAGTCACTTAACGCTTCGAAATTTTCTCTTGGCTATTTTTTAAAGTCTTCCTTTGTCTGCTGGGTAAGAACTTCATTTAAGCGATTTCTTTATTTTCTGGAGGTGGAACTTTTACATAGGCTTAGAAGCCCACAGCTGGCGTCAAGAACAACAAGCTAGTGTTAGAGCAGCTTTCAGGGACAAGGCACGTCCAAGACACATCTGAAATAGGGCACCGATATCCAACTAAACTACTGAGGCTTAACAAGGTACTACCTATCACAGGTAGGTCACAACTGACCACAGATGCATGTTGAGCCTGTGGCTAATGGAAAGCAAAAAGTACTTTGGCCTTTCTCACTGGTGTTTGAGCCATCAGCTGGATCACCTAAACTCAAAAGACTCATCATTTCCCCTGTTCAGATACTCTGAGACAAGGACTCCTGCCAGTATTCCTACTGAATGTCTCTTACTAGTTTTAAATTCACACACTTGATTCAAGTAATTCAACCGAAAAGCAATTATGGAAAATAGTCAAGTACTTGGTTCTATAGAAGAATAAAATCACAAGACAAGGATGTTATCGCAGAATGTTAAGCGATATCCCTCTTTTATGTTATAAAGAGAGAATTACTTCATTTAAACTTTAATGAAACATGTAGAAATTGGAAATGAATGTCCATTTAGGTGGCTTTGTGCTAAAACGCAAGAAAAATACAATTTGCTTAATAAACTGCTGGCACATTTGAAACTGAGCTTCATCATAATGCCTGTTAAAGATTCTTTTAGGGACAACTCCATCAATTTAGTACCTTTAACACAAATGGATCAAGTCTTGCTGTGCTCTCAGCACAAAGGAGACATTTTCAGTAAATGTTTGAAATGCAGGATTTCTGACAAAGGTGGCAGACACTACCACTTGTGGAAGCACACATTTATACAGGTTCTTAAAGGGTGTGATGTATTAGCATTTAATGACCCTGCATATACCACTGGTACTAAAAGGGGAAAACCTCTTCCCCCTCCATTCTTACAGCTGTATCAAGTATGCCACATGTTATGTGATCCTTCCCTTGTGCTTTGTTTTGACACAAATCAGGAGATCAGCTCCCAGCACTCCCACCAGGTACTCCAGGTCCATCTTCTGTGGCTGTAACACTCCCCACATCAACACTGTCAGTGTCCAGCTCCAGAAGAGATGCTTTCCCTTTAAATAAGCACAGGGAACTTGTGCCATACAGAAGGCCCAGTGTGCAAGTTAACCAACTCCTACAGCTCACTTTTGCCAAGAGAGCCCTGAGCACCTCTCCAGTAAGCCTGCTGGACATGGGAGCTGAAGGGCCTTACCAGCAAAGCTGCATCACCAAAAACCCCTGAGCACAGATCTGCTGACCAGCCACCAAAGAGGGCTGCACAGCAAAGCCTTGGGCTTGAAGGTAGAAACAGTAGCTGTGGTACCGCCACTTCTTTTGCTGCTCTCTCTGTCACCCTAACCATCTCAAGGAATTCTCACTCCCCTAAGGATCCTCCAGCACAAAGGCAAATGAAAAGACACTTTCCAGGTTTTCGGACAAATTGAATGTATGTTTTAATAAACTCATTTTTCTGGAACCCTATCACTCTTTAAGACAGAAGTGATGAATTACTGTGTATATCTTGGGGCTATTCCTTAAAGGAATGGCAAAACACAGGTAACAATTTTAAAACAGTGAGAGGTATGCCAAGTACAAAAGTACTTCTATTGTAATAACGAGCAATTTCAATACGCCAGCTGTAAAAGAAGTTCCTGGAATGTGATTAAACTAAATTCTGCTTGGCTTAGAGCCATGCAAGTATTTCTTTTTCACATTCCCATCAATTACAGAAGTACAGTAAGTGTTTTTTTTCTTAAGTGCACTATTACAGGGGACACAAATAAGCCATTTTTCTTCCAGCAGTTGGAGCTAACATTTTTAAAATACCATATTACGCATTTGGCAGACTTGAAGCATGCTCCAGTTTTTACTTGTGTTGCATTAGTAAGCCACGCCATTTGAATCAACTGAAAATGGGTAGTACAACTGCATGTCCTAACCAAACTACATATGCTTACAAAGGTAGACTTGTTTTCACTTCAGTGCTGGTATAAGTATTCACAGCTGGGACAGCAGTCATCACGGGCAGAGAACAACTATTGTTAACTGTTTACATGCAAACAACAGCAGATATGTACCATGAAGGAACCCGTTTAACGGAAAATTACGTTGTATAAAGTCAGAGTTACCATTATAAATCCATGGTTTAGATTGATAATTTTATACTGAGATGTTATTAGGACAATTAATAATCCTACTAAAAAAGAAAAGCTAATCAGAGGTATGCACATACTTTGCACACTTTTTAAAGTGAAATATATCACCCTCACAAACACGGCCTTCCGTCACTGACAGTCTACCAAAAAAGTAAAATTAGAGAAGTGCAACATATTCTCTCAATGCATATCAGTTGTAGTCTGCCTGTACCTTGTGTGCTTTTGTCTCCTCTTACAGAGGCCCCAAACTACAGTATGAGGTTGAATATGAGTGTGTTTCCAAGGATAAAAAGAAAATTACCCATTTTCTGAAGCCTCCAATCCCATGTGGGGTGCACAAAAAAAGACATGTCTGAAGTGCAGGGGTGAGTTTCTACAATAATAGCGTAAAAAATGAATGTCCTACAGAATCAACCATTATCATTAAACATGATAAACTATTTTTCATGCTAAACTCTTTGACTCATATGATCATCCTACAAAAGAAATCTAGATATCTCACTGAGAGTTAAATATCACCTTACTCACATTCTATATAGTCTTACCAATCCTTTACATTCAGAGTGTAAAGCAGGTACCAGGGGCACCTGACCATACAAAGGTGGCATTTAGCCAGATGCACAGGTAGGGATGTGGAGGAACACAGTTCCATTCTCTTCAAGGCAAACTGGTAAACTGCAAGAGCTGAAAGGCCTGACCCTGTACATCAGACTGCTACTCACAGGAGCTCTCTGACCAGTGCAAGGATGACTGAGAGACAAACTACCGCAACTAGAAATTGTTAAATGTGAAATTACGAACACGTTGAACCAGAAAGACAGCCTGGTTTTGTGGACAGCTTTATGCTGGATGGTAAGGAAGATCACATTTTCTTCAGTTTAATTTGATCTCAACTACAGTATTAAACACTGAGGTAAAAGCATCACCTCTGTAGTACAACACCCCTTTGCACTCAATCAATAGAAGAAGCTCTGCAGTACTTTGGAGACCTGATCAGATTCATTGTCCAGTAAATGCAAGGGAATAGTCCGTCACTTCAGAAAAGACACCAGATCATATCCTCAGTTAGGTATGAGCTTTCTTTAACAGTATTAGAAAAATACCTGCTTTGCAGATACTCTCAGCCCTCAGTGTTTTCAGAGCCTGTATCAATAGCTGTTCAACAACAACAAGTTAAATAGCATATTCCTATCCAGCATCTTGATTACTGCCAAAATACCTTATCTGCAGGCACTTTTTATATGTCTGCCATTTTCTGCCCCTTAAACTCATTGGAAAAAAAAAAAAGAATCCTCTTATAAGACATTGCTAAAGCCATCTTCATGGTTCAACACCGATCACAGTAAACTTGTCTTCATTTTTCCCAGTGCCTCTCCCTCACCTTTACTTTAGATGCCAACTGTATCAAAGAAAAAACTTGACCAAACCCTATGTCCTTGCTCCAGAATTTTAATAACTAACCTCAGTCAGCCAGTGTTTCCATTCCTTATATCTCTTTCTACAAACTACCCTTAGGTTTCTTGCATTTTCCTCCTTAGTCATGCAAAACATTCTCCCATACATAATTTAAACAGCTATTATCTTATATTTCTTCAAATGCCATCTTTGGTCTTATGTCTATCCAGCTTGATAACCATCAAGAAGATTATAATAGGAAAGTGAAACTTCTGGCTTTCTCATCATATTTTCTTCTCTTGCACGTCTCTTGTTACCATTTGTCTGTGAACACGGAATCAGACACAAAAAAACCCAAACAAACCCCAAACAAAAAAACCCCACACACCATCAGCAAAGCTGCGCCAGGTCTGCACAATATAGGCTTACTTATGTCAATGTTCACATCCTGTCTTTCTTTCAAGATATGATTTACCCGATCTATTCTCTAGGCCTTCAAACCTCTGGAGCAAGAATTATCATCTCTGCTCATATTATAGTTAGCACAACAGTGATTTAAAATAGGTTAAAGCTCTCAAATATTACTACAGTAAATTACTTTTTATACTGCCAATTCTGTTAGATTTTATTTGCAATAGTTGGCATGCTAGTACCATGCACGGACCTTTATTCTATTATCTTTCAAGTGAAAAGGCAACTATTGCCCAAAACCCTTCTTGCATACCCAGCTGAAGAAAGATTTACTCCATCTAACGCAGGGTCGTAACATTTAGCCTTCCTTCACAGTGGAGTGGACAGCCAAGGAAGGGCAACCACTCTTTGTTGAATGCTGAAGAGTGGTAATGCTAAGAGAGTTCAGAGTCACTTTTAAAGTGACTTTTAAAGGAGTCTAACTCCTACTGTAGATGGTTGGCCTAGACTACTTACAATCTAACCATTGTTTGGGTGTTGAAAGCACCAATCTATCTAGGCCACATGAGGTACTTCCGATTCACTGTTCTCCTTCCATCACAAGCCTAAAATTCAAGGAGCACAAAACCTCTGATCTCCACTACGACAGTGCACAAAGAAAGTGGCTGTACCCCATTTTGACCCCTCCTGAGACAGGAGGAGTATAATAATATTTGCAGAGAGAAGGACTCCAATGTATTAGGCTTTAGAAGAGGTAATACTATTGGGTCTCTCTAGTACCTCATCATAGTCCCCTGGTTATAGATGACATATGGAAAAAGCATGTGGACTTACTGACAGTTCTTTGATTAATTTCATTAGTTCCCTGTGCCCGTGCTTCTCAGCGATACTTGCTGGATCGTCTCCATATTTGTTGGTTATTTTGCAAGCCTGTGTGGCCTCAGGACAATCAAGTAGAAATGTTGCAAGGTTCTTTAATCCAAATCTGGCTGCACAGTGAAGGAGAGTAGGAAATTCTTCCAAATGACTATCTGTATGTGGAAACAAAATTTTCATAAAGAACAGTTTTGCTTTCATAGAACTTCTTCCACCTTCTTTTACAAAAGTCCTTTGAATATTAGTGCTACAGAATCACAGTTATCAAACTGCCAATACAGAACTCATACGCAGAAACAATTCCTCCAAATAACAGTTTTACAATTCACATACATACTTTAATAAAGGAGCCTTTCGCATACCTGGGAAATCTCATTTATTTTTTTTTCTGAGAGGGGGATTTTAAAGCACTTTAATTCTATTGAGAAATAAGATTTCTTGCAAGAGGAAGAAAATTCTACAGCCAAGATATGCTTTTGGAATATTTTTGAGATATTTGAATGGGATCGTTTTATAGGTTTATGGTGCCATGTTTTCATATTAAAAGACATCGCTGAAAATTCACATGACTACCAAAGACTCGCAAAGCAAACTTTGCTTATCCCTGTAATGAAAAACTAACGTGTTGGACAACATTTTTAGGATTTATCTGAAACAGCATGATATTAATTTCTATCACAGACTTCGTTTTTCACTTTGGAGGACTGGGACAAAGCTAAACTGAAGTTAGTTTGTCATTTCAGCATAGTCCTGTATTCATACTTTACCAGCGGCTACAAGCTACATACAACAACAAAACACACAAACAAAAAGAGAGATCAAGCACAAACAACACTTCCATCAGGCTTCATACTCTATTTTCTAATAATTTGTTGTTTGTTGTGTAGTGATTTGTCTATATACATCAGCATGTGGTGTATCTCTTTTCCAAGTATGCATACAGCCTGCCCCAGGCACCATCAACTTCTTGCACCCTCAGGGGCTTTCGGCAGTGCCTTTACCACCTGCTGTCTGAAGAAAACTGTCCTCTAGTTTGTTCTGAACCTGGCTCCTGCTAGGTTCAGTTGATAGTCCCTAATTCATCTTATTCACCATCCTTATCTGCCCTCTCTGAACTCCTAGCGATTTACTCATTCCCAAAATTTCTTTCTTGAAGAGATCCAGTCTACTTAACTGTGCCCTACAGAGAATCAGCTCCATCACCCCTACCGCTCTTTTCTGAACCTTTTCCAGCTTTAACGTAACTATTTTGAGATGATAGGAGAACTGCACACAATACTCAACTTGTGGGTGAGCCATGTAATTTATGCATTGTCATAATTATGTCCTGTTTCGTTCTCTATTCCTTTTCTAATAGTTCCTAGTATTTCATTTGCTTTTCGATCTGCTGCCTAGCAACAAGTTGATGTTATCATGGAACTGCATGGTCTCATTCGTCAGTGCTAATAGCCTGCTCAAAGCCTCTCATTTTGTATGACAACATTGGACTGCTTTTTCCACTTGCATCACTTTGTTTTTACCTACAGTGAATATCATCTGACATTTTACTGCTTAACTAATAAATCTCATAAGGCCTTTCTATTTTTTTCCCCAGGTAGTCCTCCTCCTTACTACCCTGAATACTTTGTATTACTAGCATAAGTTTTTTCCAACTGTCTGCTTCCTAGTTTTGGCCAGTTATTCATGCATGCCAAATCAACTACTGACTTGATCAGGTTTGCTGACTCATAAAAAACTACAAGAAATCTATAAAGCAAGATTTCACATTACATAAAATTTATTTTATTACAATTTCTATTAATTTGGCTGGTAGAGACAACACATTAACCTGCTTCTAGCTCTCAAGTTCCCCAGGGAAATTGGGGTTTTGCACCACAGTTACACCTTCTAGTACTACAGAACTCTAAAATTGCACACTACTGTTAGAAATCCGGCTATTTTACTCCTAAATTTCCTCAGAGCTCTTATATACCATAGTCCTGGTAATTTCTTTGTGCTCAACCGGCCCATTTTTGCTAAAATGACATGATTCCTTCAACTCCAGACAGTCTCTTTCCATGTGTCTCCCAACCAGGACTATAACTTGGGAATCTACAGTTTCTTCTAGTTTTCTTGAGTTCTCTTTCATATCCCTGTCACCAATTGTCCTACAGGCTAGCCAGTATGTTTTCAGCCCTTTGTGTGCTTGAAGAAAAACTTAGTAGTAGTTATGACTCCTTTTGGAATTCTCTTAGCTGCCAGTCATTACAAACTTTCTCGTTTTTACATTCTTCTATATACTAAAATTTAGCTCAGCAGTGGTGAATTTGTGCACCTTCCCCCTGCCCCTCCTCTTGCTCCTGCAGAATGTTAATATGGGAAAGGGTAAAAGCTCACCCCACCATTAGATATAAGAATTCAAGGAACAAGAACAGTTCTTGGAATAGATACAGCTAAGTACTGATCAACCAGAAAAACTGTAGGACATTTCTTGACTGTATTTTGGATAAAGAATATTCCACTGCTACTCCACTCCAATACTGTGTTGACACAAGGTATTTCAGTGGGCTACATCTCAGCCAAAAGTCACATTAATGAACCTGAATTTATTTTTTTAAACAAATTGAGTGTTGCCTGACTTTAATTTCCACCAGGCAACCCAAAATCCAACCAAGAAACTGTAAATACACAGCACCTGTGTAAATCAAGTCACTCATTTTAGACACCTTGGCAGGCTGAGCTTCTGTCAACAAGGGTATGTGTTTAGCCTATATTCCTTTGCAATTGCAGTGTGCTTTAAAATCCTTTAAGTTACAACAGGGAATCTTAAAACTCTATAGTAGCTAGGTTTTTGAGAGAAGTCAGTGCCATACAACCTCTTTACTCCATATTGGTCAACATTTTAAATGAACTTCCACAAACTGGACTCAATTCTGTAATTAGAAGAACTATAAATGTCACCCCAGAGTATAGTCATTTGACTTGTTATTTTTGGCTATACTTTGCTAACTGCAGGAAAAAACTAACCCCACCACAGACCGAGGCAAATATATACCAATTTAAGGAGCTGTCACATGAGCAGTAAAATGTATGCAAGTAATTGTAAGACTGGGACAACAGCATCAAAGCTAAGTGGACTTCTTACACATTATACAGGATTCTCTGAAACAACAAAAAAAGGTGTCCAAGACCAAGCTAATATTTGAAAAAACATCCACAAATCATTGTCAAATTGCTTTTCTTAATGCTTCTGTCCTTTGCTATGTTTTTATGTTTTTCTTTTTTCTTTTCTTTTTTTTTTTTGAGATGTCCAGCAATGAAACAGCTGTTGAGCAGTAATTTTAAAGAAGAGCAAATTACATGAAAGCTAATCAATAGTTTGCATCCTGTTAGCAGATTCTAGAAGGACAAATACACCAGTAGGAAGAGCCTTAAAGAAGTATTAACATGCTCTAAAAGAAATTTCCACTCATGCTAATGAAACCTGAAACAATTGGCTACAAATCTGAAAGGGGAACCAGGTCTGTATCACCAATGACTTCTTCACCAATATAAAGAGAAAAAAAGAGTCAGTGGTATTCGTAAGCTTGTTCCAGGCTCATATTTGAGTTTTCAAAGTAACACAAAACAGAGGCATCCCAGAACCAATTCCAAAATTCCTTCAGCTCTTTCACAGTTGAGCTGTTATTTCTGGATACCATTCAAACTCCTCCCTAGTTAGGTTTGATATTCAAGCACGACTGCTACACTTACATACTTTGAACATTACAGGAGACTACATCATTAGCAAATGAACTATCTCAGCCAGCCATGGAGGATGGTAAAAATCAATAAATCAATTTCCTAAAACAATCTTTTTTTTATATTACTCCTTGCAGTAAGCAGAAAAAAAGGCTGTCTTCAGGTATGAAAACTAACAGCAGCACTGGTGGTGAGATCTTTTACATAATACTCAAAGAAGATATACGTAAAACAAATGTTTTTAACACCACATGAATAATATTAAAGACTTTCACCAAGAAGAGAAGATAGAAATAGTTTCATTTGTTTCTTATTTTGAGAATGAGCATTCAGATAAATCTGTCCTGTACACCTTCACAACTATTTGGGCTACATGAGCTTTGTTATAAAATCATACAGTCTCAAAATGTTGGTCCTAGTTACGACTATAGGTGAAGCAGCCATTGAGGATAGTGCTATTGCTACATATCAACCTATCAGTCAGCAACTTTGTGCAATAACGCAACAAAATTCCATACATATATGCAGATACAAGCAGGACTGGTTTTATTCAATAGCAGAGGGATTTTCTTTTTGTACAAGATCCAATGAGATCTTAGATTGAAAGGCAATTTCCAAAAAGGTTAAACAAGCATCAGTGCTAGCATCACTGTTACATCTCTGAACAAAGAAGCTACCAGGATTACATTACTTTCTTGGGAGTATGTTAAATCTAAAGACTGAACTGAGTTATTGAAGTGTTAGTTCCAGGACACAAATCTTGCTCGAGACATAAGTCTACTGACAGTCACTATAAATAATTTCATCTTTTCACGGCATCCACTTCAAAAGTGAGAATAAAATGGAAAGTTCTGTTCACAGAGTAATTCGAATGACTTTCACAGTATGGATTTCCACCCCATGCTTAAAACAGGTGCAACAGGCAAGAGTGCCATCCAAAGACCCAAAGTCCAGAGAAGACAAATAACAAACTGCATCAGGATTACAAAATTATTGTAACCTATCTCCTAATTTCATTCAAGAGCTCTCTCTGCACCATCTACTGTTACAGATAAATTTAAATAGCATGGTGAAATCCATCTCTAGAATAAATATGGCTTTATTATCTATAAATAAATGAATAATGGACCCTTGAATTGAAAGTCTTTTAGTTGTACAAAAAGTGATGGCATAATGGCAATTTTAACAGGAATTGAATGCTCTGGGGGGAAAACACATTTATACCATTATTGGTATACTGTTATTACAAGTAATACAGAGTAAAGTTGGCTGCCTGAAATATTTTGTGTTGCTGAATATATCCTTTGTGCTTTCTACGACCAGGTTTTTTTTTAGCCATGAGCCCTCTATGAAATTAAACACACGTCCTTCTTAGTAACATAACTGGTATGAATGCACTCTTCTCCCCAGCAACTATTTAGCAAAATACAGTATT